AAAACCGCAACAGTGATAAATAATACACCAACATCAAAATAATTGCCAAGAAGTACAAATATGCATAGTCTTCTTGTCACTTTTACATAAGGTGGATGAGTCATCCCCCTCTTCCCACCCCCCCTTCTCCGCCAATCCCCTTCCCCTCTCCCTCTCCCCCATCTCTCCCCCCCCTCCCCTCTCCGCCTCTCCGCCTCATCCCCCCTCCCCCCCTTCCCCCTCCCCTCTCCGCCTCCCGCCAATCCCCCTCTCCCTCCCCCCTCCCCCCCTCCCCTCTCCCCTCTCCGCCTCCCTCTCCGCCAATCCCCCTCCCCTCCTCCCCCGCCCCCCTCCCCCCCTTGCTTTCCTTTGTCCTGTGTGTCTTCGTCGGAGCCTCTCGTGACGTCATCCTCACAGCTGATCAATGTCGCTGAATTTGTTTATTGATTATTTTTCATTAGAATGAGCAACTTGATTTTTTTTTTAATTCTGTTTTGTTAATGATGGTTGGTATTATTTTCATTTTCATAGTCGTTATCATTATTATTCACATTAACGATATTGTTGTCATTATCATTATCATGAGAATGGTAATAGTAATAAAAGTAATGATGATAATGATAATGTAATGATAATCATGATAATGATGGTTATTATTATTATTATCGATATTATTATCATTACTGTTATTATTAATACTATTATTGTTATTATTATGATCATTATTATTTTTTCCTGTTATTATTACCATTACCCATTATTTCATCATTATATTACCATTACTAATACTATTATTATTATCTAATCATTATTATCATTACGATTATCATTCTTTGTTAGTATTGTTGTTATTATTATTATCATTATCATTATTGTGATTGTCATTTTTATTAATATCATCATTGGTATCATTCTTGTAATCATTATCATTATCAATATTATGATTAGTATGATCATCATCCTTACATTATTATAAGGATCATAATATTATTCATAATATTCAAAATTTTAGTATTGTTACGAGTACATTATTACTATGATCATTATTATAACTACATTATTATCATCTGCTTTATTACTATTTCTATTTTCATTAGCTTTATTCTTGTTATTTTTATCATTATCTTATTGTTATTGTTGTTAATATTAAGAGTAGTTGATATTCTTAGTAGCATCATATCTATAGATATTATTGTCAATAGCAATAGTAGTTGTAGGATTATTATTATTATTATTATTATTATTATTATTATTATTATCGTTAGTATCATTGTCATGAATATTAACATTATGGTCATTTTAATTATCATTATTATTATATCTCTTTCGCCTTTGCCTCCCCTCTCTCTCTCTCTCTCTCTCTCTCTCTCTCTCTCTCTCTCTCTCTCTCTCTCTCTCTCTCTCTCTCTCTCGCTCTCTCTCTCTCTCTCTCTCTCTCTCTCTCTCTCTCTCTCTCTCTCTTCTCTCCTCTCCCTCTCTCTCTCTCTCTCTCTCTCTCTCTCTCTCTCTCTCTCCCTCTCTCTCTCTCTCTCCCTCTCTCTCTCTTCCTCTCTCCTCTCTCCTCTCTCTCTCTCTCTCTCTCTCTCTCTCTCTCTCTTCTCTCTCCTCTCTCTCTCTCTCTCCTCTCTCTCTCCTCTCTCTCTCTCCTTCTCTCTCTCTCTCTCTTCTCTCTCTCTCTCTCTCTCTCTCTCTCTCTCTCTCTCTCTCTCTCTCTCTCTCTCTCTCTCTCTCTCTCTCCTCTCTCTCTCTCCTCTCTCTCTCTCTCTCTCTCTCTCTCTCTCTCTCTCTCTCTCTCTCTCTCTCTCTCTCTCTCTTCTCTCTCTCTCTCTCTCTCTCTCTCTCTCTCTCTCTCTCTCTCTCTCTCTCTAACTTTCGAGCAGCGCCAAAGCGAGGGCTAAAGGTGCTGTCACACTAGCACTTTTTCCGTCAATTTTTTTTTTTTTTTACAATTTTCTCAAATTTTGTCCATTTTTGAGCGAATTGTCGATTTTCCAGTCAGACGATAATGATCGTTTCCGTCTGAAAACCTTAGCGTCAACTTTTTCAGCCAAGCATAGTCAAATCGAGAGTTATATTCGATAATGTTTGTATTTATGTTAAATAAAATTGTCAAAAAAATGACGGAAAAAGTGCTAGTGTGACCTTCTGTTCTCGTCTCCACAGATATTTGAAAGACTGTCCTCTTTTGACCCGCTAAGGTCATCTGGCAAAAAGTGCCCATCCTTATCACTGTTCCTATTATCATTATCATTATTATTAGTAATAATAATACTATTAATAGTAATAAAATTCTCATCATAATAATTATCATCATTATTACTATTATTTGTAGCATTATTGTTATTATCCTTATCACTTATTTTTATTGTTGTTAACGCATTATTTTTTATGAATGTATTTAGTCGACACAACTATAATAGACCTCATTTTAAAGGAAACTGTTGTTCAAGGATATAGTATGTAGTCCAATATTGTTGTTCTTTTAAGAAATCTTTAAAAAAAACATGATTCAAAAATCGTT